CAAGGTACCCACCGGATCACGAACACGATCACAATCACGATCGACCAGCAGTGGATGAGCGGAGGGCGCTGAAGGTTTATTTATTCTGGCTGGAACATGCAGCATTGTACAGAATTAGCATAGCATGGACGACATCAAAGCGGAAATAGCAGAGGTCAAGAAGAAGCTGGAAGCTTGTGAGAACGACCTGAAAGAATGTGAAGACAAGGTGAAAAAATGCAAGGATTCTATACAAAATGATGACACCGACGCGTGCTTCCAAAATGCGCATCAGGGTTCAAAGGATGTAAAAAAGGAGAAGCGAGCAGAGTTTCTTATGGAAGAAGAAATTCATTTGATGAAAATAGGGAATCATCTGAGGACCAAAGAGAATCAACTGAGGGCCGAAAAGAGCATTTTGGACGAGAGATTGAACAATGCCCGACAAGGATCCCTTGTGAACAATCGCGACCAGTCTAATGCCAATGTCATCGTTCCCTCCAATCTTCGGTACACACGATATCAAGGCCTTTTGATGTAGCGACTCAGCTATGAGATGAATAATGCAAGCTTAGACTGTATCAAGTGGTGGCAGTTTTCTATGAATTTGAAAGAGTTGGATGGATATGAAGCTATATGGAAGAAAGTGACACAGGATGGTCTAACATTTGATAAGGATGGTGAAATGGACGAAGCAACAAAAGCTTGTTTTCTAGATGCGTTGAAACCCTTGATGGCGTCTTTTGAACCAAAAAGCTTTGAAGTATCCTTAGAATTCCTAATGCGGAACCATGTCCTAATGCGGAAGCATATTCACTACGAGGACGTGGTGGGCAAGATGTTTCTGCAACAATTCATCTACAACGTGTTCTCTGCTTTGCTTCTTTCTGCTTGCTCCAAGGCAGGAGACTACAAAGCCGATCAAATGGTCAGGCCATCGCTACCGTGTCTCTTTCGCGAAACGCCAGACGAGAACGTTTGGCGGTATGGCGACTTTCAAGCCAAACCTGATGCAGTGAGCTCGATGGACTCTGGTTGCGACCCATTTGCCATGATGGAGCTAAGAACCCTTTATACAAGGCGTAACGCTACAATAGTCGATGAG